ATATTTATTTTTAATTTTTTTTCAAGGAATAACAAAATCGTCTCTACAAAATAAAAATAAAATAAAACTCACATTAGAATTGACATGTACGAACATAAAAATATAATTATACTGCTAAATAAAATAAAATTAGAATTAGAATTCGACACTAAATTTAGTGAATCATTTAATAATAACATTTATAATCACTCTAGTTAATGAATATATATATATAATATTTATTTTTTTATATTTTAAATTTTAATTTTTTTGAAAAAATTTAATAAATCCTTGAACTTTAAAAAAATAAACTTGGTCCTTTAACTCAATAAAAAAAACAATTTAGCCCACCTATCATATCATCAGCCATAACACCAACCACCGTAGATCGCCATGTTAACACTATGAAGTTCCACATCAGCATCGTAATGGTCAAGTACATACATAGTTGATCAAATGATCACATTGAGTTCTTTTTCTAAGTTTGGGGTCGCATTTACTGTAAAGATAATTTAAAGACTATATTTATTTTTTTGAAAAGTATAAGGACCTTAGGTACCCTTTTACCAAATAATTTTAATTTATAAAATGTTAATGAATCAAATATCCTTATACACTCTTGCTTTTATCTATTATTTTAATTCTTTAAAATTTTAGCATCTTAAAGCCCCACATGGGTCACGAGCTTAATTTTAGTATCTTAAAGAATTATTATTTGGGTAATAATTCTATAAAATTTTGTAATTCAATTAGTATTCTTTTACTCATAAATAAAAGAATTAATTGCATCATATGTCCTTAAACTATAATCCTTATTTTAAATTGGTCCTTAAAATTTTAAATATTCTAATTTTATCCCTAAATTATGACTCTCATTTTAAATTAACCCTTAAACTTTTAAATATTCCAATTTCATCCCTAAACTACAACCCTCTTTCTAAATTGGTCCCTAAAGTTTTGAACATTCCAATTTCATCCTCAAATTCATCCAAATATGTAACTAGTTTCAACCATAGTTTAACCCAATTTTTTCCAAGCATATTATAAAATAACTTGACCTAACGATTTTATTAACAATGGATGTGATTAGTATATACATATAGTTTGGGATGAAATATGAATGTTCAAAATTTTGATTATTAATTTAAAATAATAATCATAATTTAGGGATGAAATTGGAATATTTAAAAGTTTATAAACCAATTTAAAATAAAGGTCATAATTTGAGGACACATGATACAATTAACTCTAATAAAATAGAATTTATACCAATAATCAATTTATTAGTGGGATGAGATACTATATCTTTTAAAGAATGTCAAAAACTCAAATCCTAGCTTTGTGAATGAAATAAATTGGGTAGAAATGATGTCTTATATTATAATTTTATGATATTTGATCCATCAATAAATCAAATATTAGTGAATAAAAAAAATATGATGACATAAATAGGTGTCGTCACTTTCATGAGAATTTTGAGGTGGAAACCCCAGAAAGAGTTTATCGTAAGAAAGCGCGTAAATGCATGCAAAATTGAAATGACTGATAATGAAAACTTAGCACATTTAATTATATAGAATGCAAGAAGTGACCTTTGCAAATTAGTGGAAGTTGACGATAAGATTTGATTATCCCTTTCAACCCACTAATATCATATTAAATAACAATCTATACCGACATTTCTTTCTTTTTCACATAAATAAAAACAATTAATTTTATTAAAAAATCAAAACTACAATAAGAATTTACAATTAGGTTTGTAAATTGAATACATAATTAAGATATTCTCCTGTAACTATTAATAAACAAGAATTACTCATTTCAAATCATATAAGAATCATACAGAGAAAATGTAAAAAAAACTATCTAAAACAACTCTTACAATAGGTAAATACTAATAGATATTACTACAACGACTAACCATAACATGAAATTTAACAACCAAAAGATCACCATCTATATGTACATTTCTATTCGGGCATATTTGGCATTATCTGCATTAACCGGGCCAGCAAATATTGTTCTCACAAGCTTATTGTCGTGACGCGTAGCTCCACCGAATCCGGCGTCACTATCCTTGGTTGCGCCGTCAACATTAAATTTGAACCAGCCAGCTAGAGGAGGACCATAATTAAAGTGATCATCTCTTGATGGGGCTTTCGACGGTTGGCATTTTGATGGATGTGACCACCATAGAGTTTCCGATCCTCCTGCATGGCTTTGACCCACATCATCCATCTTAATTTGGTATGGAATACCGACCCCTCAATCGTCATGACTTTGTTGTCGAAGACTTCATCATTACGAGCTAGCCATATTGTCCATGATGCCACCATCGAGACAAGCCAAAGGCTTCTTTCTGAACCTGAGAAAGAAACTTTGAGCAGAAATCACAATGTTTAGTAGTAAAATATGAACCAAACGATGTTAATGGTTAAAAAGATAATTATTATCTTTAGATGTTTAAAGTTTGAGCATGTCATCTACAGGGGTGTTTGAGTGTTTATTGTCAAACAATAAGAGTCTTTCAAACATATATATTACCTTATAATCACACTAAACTAGTAAAAAATAAGAAAAATAATATTCATCAAATTCTTATTATCTTTCAATAACAATAAAAGGATTAGTTCCGAGCATTACTCTAAAAGATACGTAAAGCCTATAGAAAAATTCTCAACGGTTCAATTATTTAATATAAAACTCAAAAGATATGAACATGTTCAGATAAAATTCTCAATTCAACATCCTCCTTCATTGTGATATAAATACTTGTATTCTCGATTTCTTTCAATTGTTAGCACTCGAACACTTTCTTCTTTTCGTCAACATGAGTATACCCCTAGATGCAATGGTCTTAGATATGGGGGGCAAGGACATTAGCAACCTTACCTTTCTTCTTTTTTTGGCTCTTCAATATTGCATTCCTTTGATGCATATGTGAATTGAATTTTCTTCAATTACTACTTATTTTCTTCAATTACTACCTATTTTATTGATTATACTCACCCTGAAATTTAATTTGAATAATCAAATATAAAAATTTTATATTATTAACAAAAGTGTATTCACCTTTAAAAATATTTATGAATTCATCACAGCTCATAGTGGTCTGGCTGATTGATTGACTTTAAGGGTGTGTTAGCCCCTTGGAGATATTTTCCATTAAGTCAAGATGGGCCATATTCATCGGATGTTCATACCCAAATTCCGTAGACGAGTCTGAGTTGTGCCCAAACCCTATTGGACTCGCCCCATATGTCTGCAATCCTTTTAAAGTTCCAACACTGTAAAGGGACTCCTCAAACTTGTATCCATGCACCACGTTCTGGCTTCAATACCTCCTCCGTCCAAGCCTTCAAGGGTTAAATTCAACGAATATTTCTTTGACAACTGATCTCTACTGTTGAATCTTGCCAAAAGACGAACGTTGATTTTGAGTGAGATCATAAAAAAAATTGTGAAGAAGAAAACATTAAAAAAAACAAACATTCTAATGTCTATTTTATCACCATCGACGATAAATTATAGTCGACTGCCATCGATAACGACACTAATAACTTAATAATATAACAACTAAAAAACTTATTTGAAAAATTCCATGTTATAATTAATTTTTTTTATAGTTTGGTGATAAAACAATAGGATCAAAGTTCACTGACTAATGGGGTAGTTTACCATGACATGTTGCATTTTGCATCACTATATAGAACACAACTACCTTGGGGTAAAGTAGTTGCCTTGAAGAAACTTCACCGATTAAAAGCAGAAAATTCGGCTTTCGACACGACATCAAAACATCATAAAACTTCACGGATTTCTATTTACACTAACGGTCTGTAGCGGATCTAATCTTTAGTAAGGGTAGGCACGTAGTTCCGAAATTTCTTCAAATATTTATTTATTTATTTATTGTGTTTATCTTAAAATTTTATTATATCTATTCCGTACAAACATTTTATATATGTGTGCACATCCTCTAAAATATTTTTAAATTTATTACTATTTTTTTAAAACTAAAAATACAAGAAAAAAATAGTTTGTTTTCAACTTAAGAGACGAAGTGGAAGTTGTGGAAATGGGACAGGAATTGAGATCACCATAGGCGTATCGCATGCTCTGTCTTATTTGCCCCATGATTGCAACCATCTAATAGCTCATCGACGGTGGCGGATGCATGTATACTTTAAGATGAATAGGTGCTTATCTTGGAATCCGAATTTCTTTGTGTTTGTTGTTCATTTTATTGATGGTGTCCACCCTAAAATTTTATTGGTGTCCTCCTAAGCAATAATAAAGATTTCAGCCTACTCTTGAATACTTAATTGTGAAGTCTTGAGGGAAGAAATAAGATAAGGGCCGTATTTGATGGATTACCTTTTAACTCAAAAAGATGATGAATATTGCTAGAAATCAACAATATGTCGTTTCTTCTTCATGCTTATATTATGACTTATATACCATCATTAGTGTTGATATCAAATTTTGAGTAATCATAATTATTCATACGTTGATAGTTTAAATATATTTGAATGTCAAATAGTAGATTTAGTCTGATCCATGATTCAATCTATTTAACACATAATCGAGATATATTGTATTTCTCGCCTTTTTCTATCTTTTTACCATCCTGATTTTGGTAATTAAAAAGAGTAAATATCTAACTTTGAGAGAAAAATATTAGTTTTTTCATAAATTTAATAGAAAATCAACAACATTAAAGACTTAACAATCGAAATTACAAAAAAGAACAAAATAAATAAAGTAAAAAAAGAAAATCAAGTTATTGACCAAAAACTAATTTACCCAATAAAAATCGAAGTTAAGAAAAAGCTAAAACTTAAAAATACATAAACAAATTAGCATGTTAACCGGAAACGGAATACTTGAACACAGTTTGGACTCGAGCTTTGAGGAATTAAAGGATAAGGACTAAATATTAATTTTGAGGACAATATAGGGAGCAAAAATAAAATTTGACCCAAATCAGAACTCCCGGGAGGGGACCCCAAAAATTTTGGTAGGAAAATTCGTAAAAGCGGGAACAGAATGGCGACGAGCGACCCTTTGGATTTCGATGTCGGAGTAGAAGAAGACGAAGAGGGAACGCCGTCGCCTTCATCTCCGCTGTCCTACTTCGACAGAGATCGGCACGTTGGGTTCTTTGGAATGTTGTACGATTTGATGCCCTATCACTCCCAATCACAGGAGATCAATCGGTTCACTCTTGCATTCTTCACTATCTCTGGCCTTCACCTTCTCAAAGTCTTAGATCGCGTAACCTGTTAATTGTTTGGTTTTCCTTTTTTGTTATTTTTTAAATTTAGATTGCGAATTTAGCAGAAATGTGAATTTGAAGTTAAAATAGCTAAACTTGAATTGATTACAAAGTAATCGTTCGTTTTATTTTGTAAAATTTTAATCTTTCGTTCAAGAAAACCTTGATTGATTGCAATAGCGTATTAGCTTCTTATACCTTCATTAAAAATACTAATGATTTTAGATTATTTTTATTCATTTTCTTATAAAATTTGGCTGTTGGTCATCTTTTTTAGTTAATTAGGAAGTAAAGAAACCTCTTTCTTAAGACAATTTGATCATACATTGAACTTTAATTAGATTGTACCCCAAAAAAAACCTTTTAGAGGTACCTATTGATTCTGGTTTGCATATATTTTAGGTTGATAAGGAGAGAGTTGCCAGTTGGGTTTTATCTTTTCAAGCTCATTCGAGAAGTCGAGCTGAATTGAAAAATGGTTTGGGCATTTGCTTATAAATAGTCTTGTTTTGTTGCCTTTTGGTGCTCCATTGTGCTTTTGATAAATAGAAGTTATTTTCTAGAACGAAATGTGATTTTTTTTGTGTAAGACAATTTTACGGGTTTCATGGTTCTAGGACGTCACAGTTCCCTCCGGATGAAAATAGAGTATGAAAAAAGTCATTATATTGTCTTTAAGTCATTAATTGTTTAGTTTAATTTTTTTTTCTGTTTGTTTGCATAGAGGTTTCGTTTCATAATGCTGGTCACCTGGCGAGCACGTATTGTGCCCTAGTCATACTAAAGATTGTTGGCTTTAATATATTGACCATAGACAAAGAATCAATATTGATATCAACGAGGAATCTTCAACAGCCAGGTACCTACGAAGTGTCGTCCGTCTACCCGTATTGGTTGTAAGGGCAATCATATATTGATGGTATTCCCGTGCACAAACATGGAATGGAAAGGGAAAGACCAACATTGTTTTTTCTTCCTTCCAAATTCTCATGCGATAGATCTTGTAGACTGGTTACTTTTGCATAAAGATGAAGCTACTAATTTTGTTTCTCATAATCTTGCAGTTTCTTCGACTTGTATATTGTGCTGGTAAGAACTGAAAGCATTACCAGTTACAGTTCAAGCTATATAATTTCAAGTTCTCCATAATGAAATCTTGGTTTAGCTAATTGATGTATCAGCTGCTATCTGTTTTATGTTGGAGGATTGGAGTGACATTGATAGGGAGAAAACCAAGGACTACATCTTAAATTGCCAGGTCTACCTGCATTGCACTGTTGAACTATCGATGCTTTCATTTTCTCTTTATTTTCTGCATATATTATGGCCTGTATACTGAAGAAGTGATTTTATTCTTTCAGTCTTATGACTGTGGCTTTGGCTTGATGCCTGGTTTAGAATCACATGGTGAGTTAAATAATATTTCATCTAATTGCTGATTTATGTTCTGACAACCCCGTGCATCTAGAGCAGGCCTAATCACTGTTTCTCTGCTATTTTCTCATTGCACATAGTTGTCATCAAATTTTAAACAAATTCAGCTGAGCATGATTTTGGTCGATATTTAACTGATTCCAGTTCCCTTTTCCCTCTCATACTACTTTTATCAAATTTTCATAGTGTTCAGTGTAATATGCTGGCGGGTTTATATTTTAGTAGGAAAAGTTTCTTCATGAAGCAGCCTTAGGCTATATATCTTTAGTTCTTGATTCTGTTCACTCTGATGATGATACCAACAGCATTAGTCTTAATGATGCACGGTGTGGTACGTATTGTGCCATGGCATCTCTTCGATTAATGGGGTACATTGAAGATGACCTTCTGTCAAAAAATGCAACTTCTTCTATCATAAATGTGCCGTTAGTGCTCAACTGGTGCATGCAGGTTTACTTTTATCATTTAACATCTAGAAACATCACTATTCATGCCTGGAAGATGTTTTTAGCTTAATATGTAGAAGTTGACAATGAACCTCAAGAGTCATTATAAGAGCTTAAAAGTGCTAATAAAGCAAACATTTTTTCGGAGATTTACTATTATTATCTAAAATCAAATTTTAAGTTGGTTGTTAGGCCTTTTATGCATTTTTTTTTGCCTTGATAATGATTTCATCCTCTTTCCTCTCTTCTTTCAACAGACGCAGGCAATTGATGGTGGATTTCAAGGCAGAGCCAATAAATCTAGTGATACATGCTATGCATTTTGGTAAGAAGAAAAACCTTTGTTCATGACATGGTATAAGGTGTCTTTGTTTTGATGAAATGATGTTCTTGTGTAGGGTTGGGAAAGTTTTGAGGATCTTAGGGGGCTACAAATTCATTGACAAGACTGCTCTATGCAGATTTTTGCTGACTTGTCAGTCTGAGGTGTTCATACTACTTGACACTTTATCTAGAAATCAGCATGCATTCGAACAACCCTCGTTTAAATGAGGGTTTATCATAGTTTCTCAAAAGATACCCTTTGCATTTAAATGTAAAGTAAATAGAATACAACCCCATGATCCGTGGAAGACAATATTATTGAATGTTCTCTAGAAATGCTTTTTCAGAAAGGAGTTTTGATACTAGGAGTAGGAGCTACAGAAAATGGAATCAATGCAGCTGAAAATGTCATATCAGTTGCCTTGCTTCATATACTTATATGCAATCCAATAGTGATATAATAGCCCTTATCTCTGCATAAATATCTCATTTATTAATTCTATGAAGGTTGTGATTCGTATCTGTCAGACTATCAATTATGTTCCCTTTTTTATTTTATCATTTAGGAGGTTTCAGCAAGTATCCCCGGGAGCTACCCGATTTGTATCATTCCTATTACGGATGTACTGCATTCAGCCTATTGGAAGAGCCTGGCTTGAATCCACTCTGTGCTGAACTCGGAATGACAGATCTTGCTGCCTTAGGTATTCTTTGACACCATTTTTATTTATTACCTGCCTGCATATGTTCGCAATACATGTACCCTGAACTCCAGCGCACCTTTGATAGTGCATCCTGTTTGTTTATTGGACTTGTAGTTTGTGGTAATCTTTCTTGACCACAGTTCTAAGCGTATTTACGTAGTTAAGATTTAAGAAAACTTGAACTTAGTGTTTTATTGAAAATTTTCATTATGTAAGCTCAAAGTATGGTAGGATTGGCAAGACATCAATAATTAGTTTGATTCTAATCACATTGCTGTCCTTTATCCATCCCGCGTAGTCATGTATGCTTCTCTCATTCATGGCTTGAATCTTTCTTCGGATTATGATAGCTTGTTCATAACTTGGAACATGTTGGTGTTGTTGTAATTGCTTTCATCCATGATTCACACTAGTTTTGAGTTTTTTTCCCTCGAACAGATCAAAATTGTTGCATCACCGCACTCACTCCATCTTTGATTTGTCCAAGCTCCCTACCTTCCTACAGTAAAAGAAAACGACACGAGGGTTCTGTGCGGTGAAAAGTCGCTCTCACCGCAACGAAAGCCTCAATGTGGCGGAAAGACAATTTCGCCAAAAGGGTTTTGAGAGTCCGCCATAGATGCGTGGCTCTCTTAATGTGTTAATTACTCATAATCCCCTCAAATCCTACGGGTGCATATGATTCACGGAAAATATTTATCAGAGGTAATATTATTTTTCGGAATTATATACTCAGGTTTACAAAAATATTACTAACATTAGCCTTCTTTTATTATGATTTAGAGAACCATATTACTACCCATTCCATAGATATTTATCAATTCATGCAGTTTGGACAAATTTACTTTTAAAATAATGAGTCTTCTTCATATTGGTTCATTAGTTGCATATCTTTTTAACTACATAGTTATTATTTGAGGTGTAAATTTATGTAGTTTGTATTTAAATGATTCTTTAATATTTATTATTATTGTATTTATGATGTCTCAAGTATTATTTTCTAAAATATATTATCTAAATATGTAACTCATAATATAAATTTGGTTCGAGTTTGAATTTTATTTTTTTATACAAGATATTTACTTATATAAAATTTAAAATATTTTGTGATACATTAACTATATTAATAATACTTTAAATTTTAAGTGTTTTAAAAAAATAGATAATGTAACAAAAGTCAAAACAAATTATATTTTTGTATGAAAATGCGTCAATTTAATATTGAAAGTGTAAATTGTTATATATATCACAACGATCATATTTAGTTAACTTTTATTCAAGTAATTTTATATTGTTCCAATTAAATAATATAATTTAAAAAAATTATAACAAATAAGAAATAGAAATGTAACATTCTTGTTAATAAATTAGATAATTTTATATTATGAAAATTTTATTTTTTAAAAAAAATTATATTTTGTGAGTCAAATATAATTTTAAGTTGAAAAAGAAATTATATATTAACCGAAGTAAAGATTTAGTGGATAGTATCCATTTTTGGCGTGAAGAAAGAACAAAAATAAGAAGGCATGAAAGGAAGGTGAAGAGAAGGGTGGGATGTCAAAATGTGATGATTTCTGGTAAGGTGGGGTTTGCTTTATACGTGTAGCTCCCAATATACACTTTCACGGGCAATTTCAGCTGCTTTGTCGTTTTGGAAACTCCCAGTCTTATTATTATTAAAAAAAATAACTCTTTCGGTAATTGTTTTGTTAAATCTTTTGATTATTAAAAGTTACTGAATTATTTCAAGCTATATGATGTTTTGTTGAGTTCCTTAACTATTAAAAGTTACAAAATGATAATCCGAATATTCATTTATTCAAAACTCATCTTTTTCTGTTAAAAATTGAAGGTTGTCTGTATTGGACGTTAACATATTAACTGAGATATAATAAAATCATATTTTAATAATGTCTACTAATATCACTGCTGCTTTCAAGCACTGACTAGACATCATAGTATTTCAAGCATTAATTAAGACGACCATTAATTTTTAACGAAAAATGATTAGTATGAAAAATATGAATAATCGGATGATCATTTTGTAACTTTTAATAGTCAAATGATTCAACAAATAAGTAGCCTATAATTGAGTCATAATTTTATAGCTTTTAATAGTTGTGGGACCATTTATTCACTTTACTTATAAAAATATTCCTTCATTGTATTTATGTATTTGAACATGAACCAAACGACCTTAGTAATTATTAATTAAGGGGCTTGTTATTATCCTTTGAGATCTCGAATTCAAGCACCACATATATATTTGAATATAATTTTTTTCAAAAATAATTACATTTACTTTGGATATATGGTATATCAAACTAATTTCAATTTTGAAAAATTATGCCTTTATTAATTGCCACGTCCACATTATCTTAAAATATGAACCGTTTGATTGATAAAATTAAATGACCGATAATCATTAACATATTTTAATAATGAAATGACTGCAAATGTAGTTTACCCAACTTTTTATTCAATCTTATGTAGTCCACGGAGGGTATTTCATAATTCGGAGGTCTCTTACGAAAGCTGCTCTCAACCTGGTGTTGGAGGTAGCTTACTATCTTACCTCCCCTTACCCCATACATGGAAAAAAGTGACAACCATTTTTTATTTTTCCAAATTTGCACCAAATCTTTTTTAATTGAGTAAAAACTAAACAATAATCATCCGGTTGAAGAATGTAACCATGATGCCAACATCAACAACAATTTTTACAGAAATCAATATCAATCTATATTTACTAACAATTTAAAGCACAGATTTGTAAGAAATTTACAGTACCAAATCTTAATAAAAGATCAGTAAATCAATTCACTCCTTGAAATGATTACAATAACAGCTAATCATTAACAGCTAAGGAGAGACAGATAAATATAAAAACAAATCCCCTACTACTTTCAGTTTTTGGTTGGTCATCAGAAGAAGAAGAAAAAAAATAAATAAAAATATTGTTAATTCAAATTGAAATTGGCCATTGCTGATGAAGAACAAGACCAGAGCAAAGTGCCTGAGATTTGGACTCATTGAACCCTATTTTCTTTCCTCTTATCAACAATGATTGTGAATTTGTGAATGATTCATCTTCTTCACCATTGTTACCTACTCCCTCCATCAGTGTGTAATCTTCTTCCTGTGGAGCTTCTCCTCGGCTTCTTGCAAGAACCTGAACTTGGGAAGAGGTGAGGATGATGACGACATGTCTGCATCTCCACCGTTTGATGATTCAAACAAAGGGTTGAATGCTCCGCAAGCAGCCTTGATGGAGTAAGTGGAGGTGTCGAGAATGGAGGCGAAGCAAGTGGGGTAAGATATGGGGTTTCAACACTGAAAACCACATCACTCAAGCTCCTCCCTTTCCTTGATTTAATGCAGATGATGATGAACTTGAGATGGCTGTTGTTGGATTTCGTGTGGACTCGGTGCTGATTTCTTCCAGCAAAACATGTAGAACAACTCAGTTGCTGGGTTTTGTAATCACTCTCAATGTCTACTGAGTTTTGTTGTCAATCTCTTCTTCCACCATAACAAGTAATACAACTCAGCAATCAAAGCTAAGAACAGAACAACAAAAACTATGCTCAAACCAAGCCCTACACAGCTCAAAGATTTCATTTTACATCACAAAAATAAAATCAAAAAATACCTTTCATCAGTTCAAGAAACAAGTGAAAAATCAAAGGGAAAAGCACAGAAAATAAGGGTTGATGAGAGGTTTCAATCAAAGAACAAAAACCCAGAAAGTAAAGTTATGAACTTTGACCTGAAAGTTGAAACATCCCCACCCCAAATTGAGTTCTATGATTATCGAACCTATCATTTTTTTTTTCGTCTTGAAAACATTAGAAATATACACTCCTTCAGCTTTTACCTGCTAAAATAATATTGTTTGTTAAAACAGAGGAATGAATGAATAATTAAATGTTAAAAGTTTTCCTTTTTCTGTGAATATCACACCATTTTTAATCATTAATCATGATTATGAAAAATGATTTTTGTTTTTTTTAAAAGGATAAATACACCGTAGATCATTAAACTGTGTTTAAATAATCATTTTGCTCACTTAACAATTTAAAAGTTGTAAAATAATCATTAATTTACAAATATTTATAAAATGTTTAATAATTTTATTAAACTGTTATAAAATAACTGTTAAATTTTATCAATTATTACAAATGATACTTAAACTTATTATTTTTATAATTATTATTTTATGACAGTTCTAACTTTTTTAAAATTTAATAATTAAAATAATAATTTCAGCAAAATTCAGTGGCATACAACGTACTTTCTTTTTTGAAATAATTGAGTATGCAAAAGAACAAAAATGAAAAGCACAAGAACTACACAAACACCTACTAGTAGATATACAATTTTTTAATTAAAAATAAATAAAATTCTCCAAAAATAACATTTTTTAGTATATAATATATTGGTCATTAAAACTTATAATATAAAATTTTATCTTGAGAAAATTCTCTTAATTCAATTAATTATATTCACAATATCAAATTTTAAATTTTTAATATGATACTTTTTTTAACATTTTCTTTAGGTATTTAAGAGCATTTTAATGAAAGCTTAGTTTTGAAATATGAAATTAGAAAAAAAAATACTCTTCTAAAAATGATTGAATTTTAACTTTAATATTTATGGTTTGAAATTAAATTTTATAATATAACAGTATTTAGCATTTTAACCTAAACATTAAAAATATTAAACTAATCATACTTAAAATTTTAATAGAAGGATATAATATCCCTTGAGAGGACTTTTCTTTAAAGAAATTATGCAGAGATTTTAATGTGTGGAGTAGAAAATTTAACAAGGGTATAATAATTTTCAATTAAATTGAATCTAAATTATATATAATATTAATATGAATAAACTTCATTCAGATTTTTTACTTATAAATATATTTTTAGGGCGTTTGATGAGTGAAAATAGATAGCTGAGATTAACTCATTGTTTTTCTTTTCTAGTGAATATCTTCTCATTTTTTATTATTAATTTCAGCAATCTATTTTTCACTCATCTAACGATTTTGAATCTGTGTAAAACTAAAAAACGTTTTATATTGTGTGAGAGGGTCATATCCCATCATAAATAGTATGATTATTATGATATATACATAAATTGAAAACAAGTGAATGTCAAAAAGTTGAGACAATCTAAGGTCTAATTTGTTAATTTTAAAAGGCATAATGATAACATATGATGGAAATGGTTAGTTGACAAATGATTAACGCTTTAAAATAGAGAGTTTTTTTTGCCCTAAAATAAAATTGGGGAAGGATAGGACAAAATACTCCCCAAAAAAAATAGAGATCAAAGTGATTATTTAATCAAATGTTATGTGCCTTTTTACCCTAAAATAAAAAAAATTAAGAATCAAAATACTCGAATAGAGGTCAATATGACTACTTAATCAAATATCATGAATATTTTTGACATTATATCATTTTAAAATTGACAGAAATCTAAGAAGTATTTGAACAAAAATGAAGCCAAAGCTAAATTTTACTAATATCACAATTTTCAAGTAGTATTTAAACCGAAACATGGGATTTAATTTATCTAGTTTTAAAATTAACGAGGACCGTAAAGATAGTTAACCCAAACATGAGGAGAGCCCCCTCCCATCCCTAAGATACTTCCTTAAATGGAGTAAAATTATTGAGTGTCGGAAAATAATATGGACCCAATATATTATTATTGGCAATAAATTCTCCAATTTCCTTAAACTAAAAAAGAATCAAAATACTCGAATAGAGGTCAATGACTACTTAATCAAAATATCATGAATATTTTTGACATTATATCATTTTAAAATTGACAGAAATCTAGAAGTATTTGAACAAAAATGAAGCCAAAGCTAAATTTTACTAATATCACAATTTTCAAGTAGTATTTAAACCGAAACATGGGATTTAATTTATCTAGTTTTAAAATTAACGAGGACCGTAAAGATAGTTAACCCAAAACATGAGGAGAGCCCCCTCCCATCCCTAAGATACTTCCTTAAATGGAGTGGATAAATTATTGAGTGTCGGAAAATAATATGGACCCAATATATTATTATTGGCAATAAATCTCCAATTTCCTTAAACTAAAAGTAATTGTTTATCCATTTTCAAATAGTTTTATTAAACTTAATTGAGATTATATTTCATTTATAATATATATATAACAATATTGATTTTTAATTCACGAAGAAAGTTAATAAATCATTACTTGTTTCGTTTATTTACTTTTTTTTTCTTTTAAAATAAATTAAAGATAGTAATTTTATCAAAAACAATTATCATTAGTGTGAAACCAAAATTTCAAAGCAGTAAACACAAAATTTAGTTCGTGATTATAATCATTAAGTGGACTTTAATATTTTCTTAAAAAGCAAATTCTAACAGTGTGCTTTAAACGCACGTTTAAAGTTGATCATTTAAAAAAAAATTCTTTGTATTCGTGACCGTTATTCTTGCGCAACGATCATGTTAATCTTCTCTATATCATTCTAATTTTATCATATATATAGTCAAGGGAGTCATTTTTAATATACTAAAAATAAATATGCTAATTGTTGATTTTTATTCATATATATTAAATATTTAAATTAATTATTAAGATAAAATTTATCTTAATTATTTATTTTTATTATTAAAGTTAAAGACGCTTTCAACCAGTCTTATCTTTTGAAAGATATGTTTGATTGGATGTGTATTTGTCCAATATGACAACTCAGTCAACAAATACTAAAAATTATATTTATTGACGTAAAATACATACTTAATCGGTCATCGTTGTCAAAGATTTAATAAAAAGGGCAATTTATGTTAAATATCACTCACCTTTAGGCACTGACTTGAAAATGCCACTGGCGTTTTAATTTTGCTAATTTAAGCACTGACGTTTATGTTTTATTCTAATTAAGCCACTTCGCCGTTAATCCGTTAACGGGACGATGACATGGCATGGATGGGCCATGACGGTGATGATGTGAATGCCTTACCAAAACGACATCGTTTCAACACAACTATTTTGATGCTCAATAAAGACAAAACGACGTCATTTTGCTTGAAAAAATTATTAAAATAATATGCTCATGGGATTTGAACCCAAAACCCCTGGATATTAAACATATTTCTTAACCATCGAGCTACCTTATATTTCTTTGTTGGTTTTTCTATAAAAGTTTTAAAATTTTAAAACTTCGATTAATAATGCTTGAACCCCAAATAAAATTATTGCTTAACCCATGGCATCGATATCTAGTACCCTTTATCTCCATCTTCGTTCTCTTGTTTTCATCACCATATTCTCAAAGTTGTTGCTTTTAGTAAATTCAAGAACACACCCAGCATATGTACAAGATCTCAAATATTTGAAAAATGATGTGGACCCTCCTTTCATTGCTCCAGATCTTGATTGAGCTCCTGGGATTTCTCCATTGACCCATGCGACAACAACTTCACTAACCACTTCACTTGCGACTTCAAGTGTGATACACTCGTCTTTGGTTTGCTTCGAGTTCCTGACTCTTTCTCCAATTTATAGGCTCATGGTAAATGCACATCACAGGTGCATCCAAGCTTATTAAGAAACCAAAAGTGTCAAGGTTAAACTAGCTCCATGCCCAATGAATATACACAATGTTGAAGCCGAGCATATGGTATTTCCAAATTACAAAAAACTTTCAATCTTGAATTCAAAATCAGATATCAGTGACTAATTGAAGATCATATGCTTATAAAGACCATTTGCCTTCAATAATAAGTCCAAAGAAACAACAAAATGTACATCAATGCAACACAATTGTTAGTTTAAACTTTACAAATGTGCAACACCTCTTCAAGGCAGAAATTAATAAAGCCAGAAGGTTTTTCTAATTGCTTCAACTTGCAACAAAAACACCTTAAAATAGCACGAATGCATATTCAAAGCTAATCAAAATAATAATATCCCACCCACCCTCCCCCAAAATAAAAAGCTCCACAACCCTTGTAATGAATATTACCACCCGATTCACTAGCCATATCACCATAGGAAGCATCCATTGCACATTTGACCAAATGGGTTTTCTGCATCTTCCACCTTCTGATAGAAACTGTCCACTTATTCCTTCACATTTAACACGCTTAGGTCAACTAGGTCTCTCCGGGAACTCAGTCACCGTTGAAATACCCGCCGTTCTTGGCTCACTCCCTCACCTTAAAAAACTCTACCTTGACAACAACCATCTCAATGGACCAATTCCTCCAAGTTTAACAACCTAACACGCTTAAAACGACTCGAAATCCAACCAAACTACATTTTCGGTGAGTTTCCTGATCTGGGTTCACTCAGAAAGCTTTACTTTCTCAACGCTGGCGATAACAACGTATCTAGCCAAGTCCCATCAACGTTTCCAGTATCTCTCGTCGAGCTCTCGATGAGGAACAATAACCTAGACAACATCGACAATATTAGGTTCTTACAAGTTCTAGATCTCAGTCACAACATCTTATACAGTGCAATATCATCAGTTTTTTCAAGCATCGTTAAAAACTTTTATAGAAAAACCAATAAAGAAATATAAGGTAGCTAAATGGTTAAATATTATGTTTAATATCCGGGGGTTTGGGGTTTGAATCCCAAGAGATGCGTATTATTTTAATACTTATTTCAAGCAAAACGACATCATTTTGTCTTTATTGAGCATCAAAATAGTTGTGTATTTATTTTAGGGGAGTTGCGTTCCCTAGAGGCTTCATTGTGAGCTGATATCTTTTTTACTTTCTTTTTCCCTTGTAACAAAAAAAAAAAGTTAGAATTTGAATTTTAACATTGTAAAAGGACCAAATTGAGTTGGAAGTATTTTTTTATAATAAATTTTTATAATATTTAATTCAGATTATTCAATTAATGAAACAAATACAAATGGCTATATTAAAATGTGTAATATATTCTCGGACAAAAATTTCCAAACTATAAAAACCAAATTTAACCCCATATTACATTACATGCATCGATGAAGAAAAGATTCACGCAAAATATCCCATTATATATATACAGTAGGTTTTGCCGAAAGAAACAATAACACGGTTGAATCCAAAATGGAATTCATATTCCAGGCTTGGATGGTGGATGCATGTTTCATTTAGGGTTTGGAGCTGATGGCATCTTCTTCGTCTTATCCATGTATGGACATAATTTTATGTTAATGGGGACGAACGTAAAAAAAATTTAGAATGGAGTGAATTTATAAAATTTTATGGGCGAAAATAAATTATCAATAGAAAATAACCGAAAACATCTAAAATATAAGAGAATTTGCAACAATAACCCACCCCTCGACCCATCCTTAATGATATCATTCACCTTCATTCCAATTTCCTTTATAGTCTTTACACACAAGTAAGTGCATACAAACAAATATCCTATGTCAGTCGTATATATATACATAGAAGTAGGGATGGACTGAAGGGATTAATCGAACTGTCATTCTCTTTAAATTTTATAAATCTTTTAGTTTAACATAAAATCTTACATCTATATCAATATAAAAAGAGAAATTTACCCAAGTAGCTAACAAGAACATGTTAACATAATTTGAGTTTGGTTTGTTGGCTTGGTTATCTTCATATCATCATTTACCGGAAACACTAGATCATTATAGTTTTATTTAGGCTTAATATAAAAATAAGTGTCTAAACTATATCTAAAGTTAACTTTAGGTGCCTAAAGAATTTTTTTTTGAAAATAAGTGCATAATGTTTTCAATGTTACACTTTTATGTGCCTACACTATAACAATTGTTAAAATAACCGTTAAGTGACATGTGTTGTGTTTATATGTTTTAATTTTTTAATTTTTTAAATACAATATATTTTTAAAAAAATTACAAAAAATACTAATAAACCCTAAACCCCTTGTCTCCCCACCCTAATGCAATCCCCCCTCCTCCAGCCGCAGTCTCCCTTCTCAACGGCAATTTTCCCTCCCTTTCTCCTGTTTTTGGCTTCTTACCGTTGCAAACATTATACACCTATTTTAACGAAAATTTGTTAAATACTTAAAGTTAACATTGTATATAATTTGGACACTTATTTGTACATTAAACATTTTATTTATATAGATTGTCCGAAGATACGTTTGTTCGATTAAAACAAAACAAAACCAAGGAAAGAACTTGCCTGTTTCCATGGCTATTGAGAATTGTGAAGATGTAAGTAGTGCAATGATCAACAGCAGATAGGCTAAAATTACTTGGATTTTGATCTTCATGTTTGGCTGCTTGCACTCGGTGGGGGGATGGTTTGGCTATCCATAGAGTGAAACGAATCGAGTTGATAAATAAAATTATATTCAGGTTTGTTTATTTTTAAATGTGTATTGTTCGATTCGTGTTCGTTTTAAATTTTCAGTATCGTGTTCGTTTATTTATTTTTGTAGGTTCGTTTAACATTTAAGAACATGTTCATTTAACGCTTGTGAACATATTCGTTTAACGTTTGTGAACATGTTCGATAACCAAACTCTCCTTTTATCTTTTTATTTGCAAGCCAAAAAAGGTGAAATTACACCATTAGTCCTTAAGTACCTTATACTTTACAGTTTGAACTCTAAAGTCGTCTTATATTTAATTAGTCACTATCTTCACCAATACTTAAATGAGCTTGTAAACGAGTCGATAAACGAGCTTGTAAACGAGTGATAAACGAGCTTGTTCGTTATATAAAAAATCAAACACACCTATATTCGTATCATTAACTAATAAACAAACATAAATAAATGTTATACGAATAGTTCGGCGAACGTTTTGTTCGTCGACACCCTAGGTATTATGGTGAACAGATTGGGATACTTAATCGTGACTTAGTTTGAAAAATATGGTCACTGTTACTATATCTGTTTTGGAATCCAATGCCTTTTCTTGTTACTATATCTGTTTGTGTATAAAGCTGGCTAGAACCAGGATATGTAGTTATGTGTCATGTCTCATTGACCTCCAAATGAGACAAAGTTGTAATCATAACAAAATTTTACTCTGGTTTCTATGTATTTTGGTTTGTCTGTCTGGGATTTTGTACATTCGTTAGCTGATTTATATTGGGGGTTGGCCTTCATTGATTTTCTTTTCACTGTTATGCATGTGGTTCTTGTCTAATCCTTCATATAATTATCTAGGATTATTGTTGGGTTCGTGGTTTTAATTAAGGGAATGGATGTTAGGAAACAAAATTAGGCATTTAGAGAGATATCATTTAATTAAGGGGATACTGAAAATAAATTGACAATTAAAATTGACTATGACAAGTTATTAACAGCATCCCACAACTTTGCTTCAATTCTATTATATGTATATATGTTGAATTATATTGGGTAAATCTTTTAGTTTTACACAGATTTAGAATCGTTTATAAGTAGAATTGACGGTTGAGATTCGTAGTAGAAAATGAGAAGATATTCACTAAAAAATATAAAAAAAAATTTAATATTAGTGTGTTTTTCAACTCATCCAATGGTCTTAAATCTATCTAAACTGAAAAATTTTCAAGTTATATAAGTG